ACCCAAGCGATGCAAATCAATGCCACGTAACGCCAAGCAATGCCAAGCCACCGCCAAGCCAATGCCTAGTAATACTACTGATCAATGCCAGGCAACTGTCCCAAGCAATGCCACGCAACGTTAAACAATGCCAAGCAATGCAACACAACGTCAAGCAATGCTGAGGAACACCTTGCTTGCATTGCGTTGCATTGCCCAGGACGTCTTTGAAGTGCAGCGGAATAATGAAGACTCCTTATTGGGGTCGCGCTGGGATCACTGTGTGTTCTGTGCGTCCACATCGCCTCCCATGGACTCCTGTGGGCCCGCATGTACTCCTACGGGCTCGTACTGGTACAGTCTCACGCGGGTTCCTAAGGATATCATGCTGCCTCGTGTGGTTCCCACCGTCATGTTGCAAGCCTTCTCCGTCACATGGAACACGCCCGCGACATGCGCCGCCCCAATCTCAGATCGCCTGCGAGGGTGGGGACAGGGCTGCGCAAGCATTGCTACCGAGACCATCAAAACCCTTGCGTCTGTGGGGCTTTTTGGGGGTCCTTTGGGGACCCTTTGGGGCCGTTCCCGTTTTGGGGCTCTTGGGCCGCCTCGGGGGCCAGCCCAGTCCCCCACACCCAAGCAGCCCAATCCCCACACTGAGATTTGCTACTAAGTCTTGCTGCTGAGACATTGCTATTGGGACATCCGGGAGCGGGGGAGTTTCTGAGGTGGCGGTCTGGGGGCGGCCGCGTGGCACAGAGACTCCCGAGGTGCACGGGGGGGGAGTGAGAGGAGGAGGGGAGAGGAGCGAGGGGGGGAGGCGAGCGAGGTGCGCTCGCGCCATGTCTGACATCCTATCCCTCCCATCCCATCCCTGCCCATGGCGCTGATTTTGTCGCAGCATTAGGAAGTAGAGCGGAAGGAGTGGAAGGATCAGGAAGACCAGGGGAAGGAGAAAGGGACATGAGGGGGACGACAACGATGAAAAAGGACTCTGATCCAGAAAAGTGGCCCACGCTCGGGCGAGAACGCCAGTCTGAACGACGGGAGGAGTCCTGTGTAAAGAGAGAATGTGCAGAGAGGGCCGGAGCTCTTCCAGACAGAGTCAGGGGAGAGGGGCGAGTGTGTTACTGTAGGGGGAGGAAACGTAAGAAGGGGGCGGCGGTGAAGGGGTATAAGCGGGGGGGGGGAGGAGGGACGGGGATCGAATCCCTCCGTTGGGGGGGGGCCCCCCCCCCCCCCTGGGCACCTCTCCTGTCCTTGGCTTGCATGCTCTCCCCTCTCCCCCGCGCGCAGCAGCGCTCGGGGCGAGGCGGCCAGCGGGAGGCGGCCAGCAGCGTGCGCGGAGACCACGGGCAAAAGGAGGCGGGCGGAGAAGGTTTCACGATGTAGAGGAACAGAAAGCAGCATGAACATAAACTCTTGACGGTCCGCGCGGGTTTCCTGGATCTGCGCTGATCCCCCCTCCCTGGCGCGCGCAGCGCGCCAGGGGCGGCGGCGGAGGCGCCGCCAGGGGGCTCCATCGCAGATCCAGGCAGTCCGCGTGGAGCGTCGAAAGTTTATGGTTATGCCGTTTTTTTGTTCTTCCGCCATACGAAAGAAGCACGTAGTGACGAATATCATTCAAGCATGCACGCAGCGCGGAAACGTTGCAGCCATTCCCACTGATAAAGCACATCGGGGGCACCTTGCCAGGTGCCCATGCAGACAGGAGCAACGCTGTTTGGAAAAGGTCATGCAAACAGGGGCATCACGCCCTGCTGCACTTTCTCACAGTACACTGCTCATTCCGAAGTCACATCTTGAGCTAAAGGAGAGCCCGCCCGTAACCAGCAAGCCACTCAAGAGTTACGGGTATTTGCACTTGCACAGAGCCCAGGCATGCGAAAACGCAGGCGACGCGAGTAAGTGACAATTGTCACAAGCTGCAGGAACACCCCCGCACCCGCAAGCATATCGACTCAATCGTACTGCACACCCTGACGATCAGCAACGTCCTATCACATCATGCTTCCTCCCCAGCGCTGGGATGCAAGCCTCAATCGAATCAATATCTCTTCACCTTTAACCTTGCCCTTGCCCTGCCCCCCCCCTGTTCCCTTCCCGTTTTGTCCCCCACGCACTGTCCTTGTGCAATTTCACCCTCGTCCCCGCAGCCTCACCCTTGCCCTTGCCCGTACCTGTGCCTCTGTTCTCCTAGCGTACATTATGGAAGCCGGCGCCCGATCAGAGCACGAGCGCCATCGCCTGCGCGAGGGCCATGTTTGTCCCTGCAGGCCCTGCGACAAGGGAAGCCGATCAGGATCGCCAGCGCGGCTTGCTCGGAGAGGGCGGCCTGTTGAACGCCGGCGTGGGCGACGGCGCCCGCCGCATGTGCGCGGACATGTTGCGCGGCCCGCTCTGCGGCGTCGGGTAGCCCCCGTTGGAGGGGCGCGGGGCGGCCGGCCCCATGGGGACGGGGCCGGCCGGCGCGGGCCGCCCGTGCTGGGGCGACGGGGGCCGGTTGGAGTTCACGCTCGACCTCCGCGCGGACAGAAATAGTGAAAGGCGACATCGACACCACCAGGCGAGGAGCAAGGGGGGTCTCCCCGGTGGTGTGGTCTCCCCCTTTCGCTCGAGACGTCCCCAGCCTCCAGCTCGGGGAGGCACCGTGGGTCTCTTCTCTGGAGGTGGCCCCCCTGGTGGTGTTGGTGTCGCTTCTCCTCCCTCCGAAGACAGGGCTCCAGACGTCCGATGTCGCGGGGAAAGCTTCGCGCCAAGCTTCGCTGGCAGTAGTGAGGCCGCGGCCGCGTTGGGCCGTGCCCGGGCCCCAGGACCGCCAACAAACCGACGCAGGACGAGACGCTGGCCCTGTCACAGGGGATGTGTCGACCCCCCTCCCAGGCTTCGTGGGGCTTTCGAATGGACGAATGGATCAGGAATCTGGGGCCCAACCCTGGGGTATACGATGGTGTGTGTGTGTGTGTGTCCATCCTCGATCGGGTGCGTCCGACCGAAGAGCCCGCTTAGGGTGTATCCTACGTCAGGTTCGTGTAGTGCCGACTTCGGCGTTGGTTTCTGACATCGCGGGGATCGTTCAGCCTTGAACGATCGGCCGTTTCCGAAACTACTAAATCGTTCCACATCGAACGATTCTGGGTCGCCCGCGCGTTCAAAGTTGAACGCCGCTGGCGGGGTCGCCGCTGGTCGACACGACACGAGCCTACCGTATAGGGTTTCCCCTTCTTCTGAGCGGCCAACCTTTTCGGGCGGAACCGGGGGACTGGGGACTGGGAGAGAAAAACCGCCTGCGACGCTGGGAACCCTGCGCGGAACACAAAAAGGCCAGGACGTCGGAAAAGCCCTAGGCAGTGAGTGGCGCGCCTCCCCGGGCCGCCCTGGCCCCAGGTAAGACGACGCCAGGATGAAGACAACATCGGATGAGGATACAATCGAGAATCTCTGAGGTCCGGCGGTTTTCGAGGATACATCGGGCGCCGCGGCCTTCTCAGAGCGTTCCAGAACGTTCCGAGAGCGTTCCGGAACGCTCTGGAACGGATGATCATTTATCCTCGTCCTAGCTCCGTCCGACCAAGCTTCCCGACTCCATCCGGGGAGCTGCTTTTCATCCCGGATTGTTTTCCCAGCCGTCCTGTGAAGTTGGATCCTCACTTTGAATCCGCAGCGCCGCGGGCCACCTCCTACTCACCTCATCCCCCTCCTCCCTCTGCCCTCCGCATGCCAATTTCGGCGCACTCTTCCCACGCTCCGTGGCCCCACAGAGGGGCTCCAGCGAAGGCCAAAATGCCCGGGTCCGCATGGCGTGCACGCCCCCATTTCGGCGGACCCCTCCCACGATTCGAGGCCACACCAGGGAGCTCCACTGAAGGCCCAAATGCCAGGGTCCGCATGGCGTTCCCGCCCCCACGCCGGAGCAATGCATCCATACGGATCGTGGCCCCGTCGGAAGCACGACTCCTCCTTCTTACATGCCTCATGGCACTCGCAGCTGCGTGTGGTTGGAATCTTCGCCAGCATACTCTGATGGTCCAGCATCCGGGGCCCCCGAGCTGGGGATAACGCCCTTCGCTTCGCGATGTTCTGTGACGCCAGGGGTCTGGGCCAGGGAGGGGGGGAGAACGGGGGGACGAGGCCCGATGCGGCCGCCATGTTGGTGGCAGGGAGAGCAGGGTCAGGGTCAGGGTCATGGGGGGTCGCCCTCTGTAGAAGGCCCCTCCGCCTCTCAGATGGCGCGAGGTGCGTCGTCTTCCGTCCTGGTCCCGCGGGACCCTCGACCCCTTCGCCAGGACCGGTCTTCCACCTCATCCTGTCAGACCTAGGTCGGGCACGTCCTCCTACAGGCGGATTTCGAAAGGAATGAAACATAGGCAGCACATGACAAAACGTAACCAACAAAAACATGGCAGATCGTCACCATACTATCTGTGAACAAAAACTAGTACTGAATATTCCTCCTGTGGAGGGACGTGCCCGACTTAACGTCAGACCTGGGGCCCGAAAGCGGCCTCTGGGCACCGACCCCCGGACCTGTCCACGGGCGCGTTCTGACCAGCATCTCCAAGCGGATCCAGCGGTGGCGACGACGACCGGCCGTGCGACGAGGACGCTCCAGGAGGGCCGGAAGAGACCGACGCCATGCCAAGTCCTCGATCCTCGATCCTCCTCCTAGTCCTCCTCCCCGCCAAGGAGAAGAAGCCTCCTTGGTGCGCGAACCGCCTCCGTAACAGGAGTGTCGAGGATCGAGTCTTCGGGCCCCCAGTAAGAGGACTGAGGATCGAAGATCGAGGATCGAGGCATCGATTCTCGATCATCCTCCTCCTCCCCTCCAAAGAAGAAGCCTGCAAATCCTCGATCCCTCAGTCCATCGAGGAGGATCCGGGATCGAGGTTCTGGGTCCTGAAGAAGAAACCGAGGACCGAGAGTCGAAGTATCGACCCTCGATCCTCCCACTCCTTCTCCTCTGAGAGTAATGCTAATGAAAATAACGGTCATAATAATAATAATAAGGAAAAGAAACTATGAATAAGATACATAATAAGAATAATCATAGGTCCGCAGGCCCACCTCCTCCTCCTTCTCTTCGGCCTCCTCCTCCTACTCCTCCTCCTCCTCCTCCTCCTCCTCCTCCTCTACCTCCTCCCAAGAATGGTCTTCTGGCACGATTTCAAACTGTCAGGAAGCAGCCGTCATGTTAATTCGCGGCGTTGGAGTCCCAGGGATGGTGATTTGGCACGATTGGGGGTTCTCAGACGGTTGTCTTCCGACGGGGCACAATGGGGCACTTCCCGCAATAAGGACAAATGCTGGTAGGGACCTGTGAAGAGGGAACTTGGAGTCAGGGCTTCTTGCAACTTTGTTGATGCGTCTTGGATTTGCACTGGTCCTCCCTCGTCCTCCTCCTCCACCTCCTCCTCCTCCTCCTCCTCATCGTCATCATTAATATCGTCATCATCATCATCATCATCATCATCATCATCATCATCATCATCATCATCATCATCATCATCATCATCATCATCATCATCATCATCATCATCATCATCATCATCCATCATCATCATCATCATCATCATCAGCATCAGCATCAGCATCAGCATCATCATCATCACCATCACCATCATCATCATCATCACCATCATCATCACCATCAACATCATGATCCTCATCATCATCATCATCATCACTATCATCATCATCATCACCACATCATCATTATCATCATCACCATCATCGTCATCATCATCATCATCAGCATCATCATCCTTATCATCATATCATCATCATCATCATCCTCATCAGCATCAGCATCAGCATCATCACCATCATCATCATCATCATCATCATCATCATCATCATCATCATCATCATCATCATCATCATCATCATCATCATCCGTAGCCATTTTGGCTCAAGATGGCGCGATCAGGGCAGATGTCTGGTCTCATGAGGCTGGCTCTAGCCGTCGCGTCCATTCTTGGGTCAGATTCCCAATCTTCCAAGCTTTCAGCGGGGCCTTTGCGGCCACAGTTCTTTCCATATCACCATACCGACACCCGGCCCCAGTCGCCCGATTGGGAGCCCAGCCGCGGCGGGCTCGACCAATGGCAGGACGTGGAGGTGGTGCTCGAGGTGCCGCGCGCGGTGGCAGCGGCAAAGCCAGCAGCGGTCGTGGACAGCGGGGCGGTCAAGCTCCAGGCGCGGGTGGCAGCGGTGCAGCGCCCAGGGTCTGGGATTGCCCTCAGTGCGGAGCCAAGAAGAATTGGGGCTCTCGGCACGTCTGCAGGAGTTGCGGCTACGACTGGTGGGAAAGCGGTTCTGGTGCGAGTTCTTGGTGGAGTGGCATGTCACAACTGGACGCCAGAGAACGCCACGAGCTCAACCAGTTGCGCAGGAAGGTCAAAAAGTTGGAGACCAGCAGCCAAGCAGGACCAGGAGTCGATGGCGGTGGCGCTGGGGCGGCAGGCGTCGGGTCGCAGCCCGACGACAAGTCAGAACGTGTCCGCCGATTGGGCAAGCTACGAAGCGAGATCAAGAAGATCGAGGGCGTGGACGGCACGGAGGCCATTCTCGAATCCAAGCGGCAGGAGGCGCAGCAGTTGGAGAACGAGTTGGCAGCAACCAAGCCCACGTCAGTCCAGCTCAGCGAGCTGGAGCGCAAGCAGAAGAACCAGGAGGCCACCACGGCGGCCTTGGCGAACAGGATCTCGGCGGCGGATAAGCAGCTCGCCGAAATACAGGCCCACAAGCTCGAGCTGGAGGGCAAACATGCGCAGAGTCAGGCCAGCGAGAAGGAGCTCCAGGCGCTCATCGACAACCTCCTGGCGCAACAGCTCCGCGAGCGTGAAGCACAGCAGCGGGAGGAAGGGCCGCGAGGGACGGTTGCCCCAGCGTCCCCAGGCGCCCAACTCAGCGAGGGGGAGCGTGCCACCGCTTTCCTCGCCGCTCTTAATCAGTGCTCAGGCATGCTCGCCCCTGGCTTCGCTGAGCAATGGGACGGCCAAGTCGCAGAGATGCGGCGCCTGGCACAGCGCGTTGCCACAGCAGGTGCCGCGGCGGAGCGCGACGGGAGCGGCGACGAGCAGGAGATCGACGAGAAGGACGTCGACGTCATCCTGGACTCCCTGGAGGAAGAGGCCACCGAGGAGGGGGCAGCAGAGGCCGCGGCGGGCGAGGTGGGCAACGGCGAGGCAACAAGCGACGCCGCAGCCAAGGCCGCCGCAGCCGCCGCCATGCGCAAGCTTCGTGCCCAGAAGCTCCTCCAAGGCCTCCGCTCCGCGGGGATCCGCAGAAAGGGGGAAGCGGGGGTAGCCGCCCTCACTTCACCATCGTGAGCCCCAACGGCAGCGGATGGGGCCCTTTCACCACCATCCTCGGCGAGCAGCAGGACCCACAACAGCAGGCGGTGGCGGAGGCTCACCTCGGCGACGCACTGTGCATTCAGGAGCACCACCTCAACGGCTACCGCGCCGTGGGGCAGGAGCAGTGGTGTCGACAGGTTGGCTGGAGCGCCGTGCTGACCCC